TCCAGAATAGACAGATCTATATAGATAGGAGGTAGATCTATGCTTGCCAGAGGATCAGGGATAGAAATATTGAGTTATCACTCATGGATATAAGATTACTTCTTGTGGTAGTAAACATGTTCTAAAATTAGATAGCAATGGCAGTTCTAAACCTTTATGAGTTCACTAAAATCCACTGGATTATACACATCACAAAAATGAATTTATCAGCATGCAAACTAACACTACAGCTGTTATTCTTAAATCCCTTCAAATTTTTAAGTAGGAAACAATATCTAGCAAATAATAATTTTTATCTGTACTGTCGGCACCCCAAACAGAAGCCTAGAAGAAAACGTGTACCACAGTTTTAGTGCATCCTTGAACATCTGTGGCATACCCTTTTCAGCACCACGGACAGATCCCTCAACAGCTGCCATACTTTGTGTATGTGAGTGGCTAACCAAGGTCTGCTACAGTTTTCTAAAAGTGATACTTCTTTAGCACTTCTATATGTTATGGTATTCATGATTGACTCATGTACATTTTGTGAGCACCTGCATAAGAAACACAGTATCTGCTATACTACCTCGTTCATGTATTTATTTAACAAACATATGTAACTGACTCATTACCTCTATTAGGGTCATTTTCTCATCCAAAACATGATTACTTGCATACACATGATAAAAATAGACAACTTATGAAATAACTCATATTACTTATGATCAATGAAGTGTTTTTATTACTGAATTCTTGAAAAAGTCATTAGGCAATTTATTTTCTTTAGGAAATCATCTATGACAGTAGAAGCCCAGACATGTATTCTGGGTGTACTCAAGGATTAAGATTGATTCAACTGAAACCCTTTATGGCCAGAATGAGGTTCTTGAGCATGTTTCAGATTGATGCAAATTCCCAAGAAATGGACTAGTTTCTAGAGGACATGAAGAAAATTGCCAGCTGTGCATCTAATCTTTTATCCTCTGGAATTTGGACCCATGATGAACTTTAGCAGCCAATCTGCAGATTCCACTCCCTTACACATAATTCTATGTGATCATTCCTGTCAACAAAGTTTAAGAGGTATGCTGATTCTACCCCCATAAAATGTTGTTTATAATTCTGCAAGATTTATCACTTCAAAATGAGAAACTGGATATAAGGGAGATAGGTACCTCAGCAGTTAAGTGTGTTCTCTGAGCTTGCTACTCTTACATAGGACCTAAGATACTTTCCCACCACCTAAAATGGGGCAGCTCACAATAGCCTATAACACTTGCTCCAGGGTATCTAATGCCCTTTTCTGGTTGCCATGGGCACCTTGTATGCATGTACAAACACACACACACACACACACACACACACACACACACACACACACACACACACACATGCACACACAAAGTGAATCTTAAGAAAGGAAGAAATTGTATATTAAAGTTCTATAAATAAAGAGAGAAAAAACCTGTGTAAAATTATGTAATGTCTCTGACCTTCACAATCCCATCCATGCAGTTAGGTAGAGAAATGGACAAGATGGTCTTCAGAGAGCTACCTAAATGTTTACAATCCCCCCACCCCAGTGGTGGTTTGACAGGTACGGGCCCCGTAGACTCATGTGTTTGAATGCGTGGCCCATAGGGAGTGGCACTATTAGGAGGCGTGACCTTGTTGGAGTAGGTGTGGCCTTGCTGGGGGAAGTGTGTCTCTGGGGGGGTAGGCTTTGAAATCTCAGCCGCTCTCTTGCTGCTGCCTGCGTATCAAGATGTAGAACTCTCAGCTCTTTCTCCAGGACCGTGTCTGGGTGAATGCCACCGTGTTTCCTGCCATGATGATAATGGACTACACCTCTGAAACGATAAGCCAGCCCCAATCAAATGTTTCCTTTGTAAGAGTTGCTGTGGTTATGGTGCCTCTTCACAGCAATAAAACCTGAAGACAAGAGACTGAGGTATTGCTGTGATAGGCCTGACCATGCTTTTGTTTGGAGGAACGTGGACTTGGAAGTTTGGATTCGAAAAGCAATTCAACCCTGTAAGTGGGGCTTAATGGATCATCCTAGTAGGAACATGGAAGACAGTGGTGCTGAGGTGATCTGAACTGCGGGGGCCTGAGTCAAGAGGTTCCAGAGGAGAAGAATGTTAGTGTGTGGCCTAGAGACCATTCTTGTGATATTTTGGTGAAGAATGTGGCTGCTTTATGCCCTTGTCCGAAAAAAAAAATCTGCCTGAGCCTAAATTGAAGAGTTTTGTATTAATTCAGTTGGCAGAGGAAATCTCAAAACAGTATATTGACTCTGTCATGTGGTTATTAGTGTTCATGCTTATACAGATTGATAAGGAACCGGAGCAAGCTGAGCTAGGAGAACACCTCGAACTGCACATTTTGTGTTTCTCCTAGCTAACTTGTTCCTTTTCCTTATAAATCTGTATAAGCAAAAAAAATAAATAGTTCAAGGAGAAAAGTGGCACTGGGAAGTGGAATGGAGATAAATCCTGTGTTCTCAGAGATAAAAATAAAATAAAGAAAAGTCTGATGTTAAAAGGAAAAAAGGAAGTGGTGACCTCAGGGCAAGATCCAACTTGTGAAAAGGAATTAAAGAAAAGCACAAAGCCAGGTGTGGCTGTAATTCCAGCACTTCAGAGGCAGAGGCAGGCCGATCTCTGAGTTCAAGGCTAACCTGGTCTACAGAGAGAGTTCCAAGATAGCCAAGCTTAGGCAGTGAAGGAAACCATCTAAAACAGAAAGCTAATGAAGATGTAACTGAATGAGGGGGCCATGTTCCAGCCCCAGCAATCAGCAGAACTTGGCAGCTTTGGCCACATGGTTCTGGCTTTAGAGTCTAGGATAAAAGAAAGGGATTATGAAATCTCCCTCTACAACTAAGGAAAGCTGCTAAGACCAGACATGTATTAGGGGTGTTCCTGCATGGAGGCCTAGAAAGGCCATTGTGTGAAGCTGTGAAGGTGAAGCCTAGATTGCCTTGGATAATCCAAAGTTTCGGAGATGCCAGAGCTGCTGGGGAGAGCTAAGGGAGTGGAACCAGCCTAAGAGAAAGAAGTGTATTGCAGTCAACAAAGATGAATGGAGTTGGCGATCTGAAGAGCATTTTGACATTAGACATGGAGATACAGTTTGAAGTTTGTCCAGCTGGTTTTTAGTCTTGCTTTGGTCCAGTATTTCCTCACTCTGCCCCCTTTTGGAATGGTAATGTATGTCCTGTGCCACTGTATGTTAGAACTATGTGATCTGCTTTTTCCTTTTGATTTTACAGGGGATTATAGTGAAGAGGTTGCATGAATTTCAGAAGAGACTTTGAATTTTGGACTTTTAAAAAAATTGAGACTGTTATGGACTATGGGGATTTGAAGTTGGACTGAATGCATTTCTGCATTATGTTATGGCTACAAACCTAGGGCGGCCTATAGTTGTTTGTTATTTACTCTTTACTCTTTTGGCTCTTTTGGGGGACCCACCACCCAGCTCCCAAATAATTCACAAGGAAGCGTATTCTTTCTTATGAATGCCCAGCCTTAGCTTGGCTTGTTGCTAGCCAGCTTTTAACTTAAATTATCCCATCTACCTTTTGCCTCTGGGCTTTTTCCTTTTTTTACTTCTGTATATCTTACTGTGGCTGGCTGTGTGGCTGTGTGGCTGGCCCCTAGCATCCTCCTCTTCTTTTCTTGTTCCTTCTATTTATCCTCTCTACCTGCTAGCCCTGCCTATCCTTTCTCCTGCCTTGCTATCAGCTGTTCAGCTCTTTATTAGACCAATTAGGTGTTTTAGACAAAGTAACACAGCTTCACAGAGTTAAACAAATGCAACATAAGAGAATGCAATACATCTTTGCACTATTAAACAAATGTTCCACAGCATAAACAAATGTAACACGTTAAAATAATATTCCACAACAGTGGCCAGGGTGTGAAATGTGGTAGTTTGAATAGGAATGGTCCCCATTGACTTATGTATTTGAATACTTGGCCTATAAGGAGTTGCACTATTAGGGGTATGGCCTTGTTAGAGTAGATGAGGCCTTGTTGGAGGAAGTGTGTCATTGTGGGGACAAGCTTTGAGGTCTCATATGCTCAAGCTATACCCAATGTGGCACACAGTCTCCTGCTGATGCCTATGGATCAAGATGTAGATATCTCAGCTCCTTCTCCAGCACCATGTCTGCCTGAAGTCCTGCCATGATGATAATGGACTAAACCTCTGAACTGTAAGACAGCCCCAATTAAATGTTTTCCTTTATAAGAGTTGCCATAGTCATGATAACTCTTCATAGCAATAGAAACCCTAACTAAGACAGGTGTAGTGTGGTGTCACACACATCCAATCCCAGGAGGCAGGGGCAGGCAGATCTCTGTGAGTTTGAGGCTAGCCTGGTCTACATAGTGAGTTCCAAGCCAACCTGAGCTACAATGAGAGACCTGTCTCTCCTCCCCAACCCCCCACCCCAAACAAAACAAAAGTAGGCTTAAATTCAAATCCATTATCCTACAGGGTTAGGGATTAGAGGTCTGAGACATCAGCAGGCCAAAAGCAAGGTGTTGGCACAGTCATTCTTTCTGGGGCTGGGGTGGAGAGTATGTTTCTGCTCTTTTCTAGTTCTTTGAGATCCCAGCACCCATTGCCTTTTCCTCTATCTTCAAAGCTAGTGATGCTTCCATAGCTCATAGTGTTCACTGACGCAGGAACTCTTGTTCCCGCTTCCACCTTTATGGGCCTTCCCATCACACCAGGGCCACCTGGAGAGGCCTGATGAATGGACTTCCTTCAAGGTCAGAGTACTGACCCATCAGTCCTACCTGCACTTGAATTCTCTTTTGCCATTTAACCAAAGTCTTCAGGGATTCTGGGATGACACAGACCCCTCTGTACCTGGAATGTTACTCAGCCAATCACAGGATTCCACTCATTCTACTATATTTACATGGAAATGTAAATACAGAATAAAGCATAGCTTTATGTTTTTAATGACAGTTCAAAAATTATCGTACAGTTGTCCAAATCCATAGACTTTATCTTCTTTTATTTAAATAAACAGACATAAGCTTGCCAGACTCAACAGTTCCCCCCAAAAAAAGTAGAAATATAAAGAAACTGTACAATATTACAAACCAGTGGTTGTTTGTGTATATATAAATACATTTGTGTGTATATATAAACACACACGATACTTATCTTATTTTTGTTTTTATATCCTGACCAAAGTTTCCCCTCCCTCCTCTCCTCTCAGTCCCCCCTCCACACACTTCCCCTTTTCCCCTCCATCCACTCCTTCTCTGTTTCTCTTCAGACAGGGACAGGCCTCCCATGGATATCAGCCAGCCATGGTCTATCAAGTTGCAGTGAGACTAGGCACCTCCTCTTCTATTGAGACTGGATGAGACAATCTAGTAGGAGGAAAGGGTACCAGAGACAGGTAACAGAGTCAGAGACAGCCCCTGCTCCCACTGTTAGGAGTCTCACAAGAAGACAAAGTTATACATCTGGAACATCTGTACACATCTGTAGCAGAGGGTCTAGGTCAGTCCCATGCAGGCTCCCTGGTTGTCGGTTCAGTCTCTGTGATCCCCTGTGAGGTCAGGTTAGTTGGTTCTGTGGGTTTTCTTGCACACACAATATTTTAACATTAATCAGGTGGTTCTAGAAAATTAGTAAACAACAAAGAATCCCAGGAAGGTAATGCTTATAAAACATGGCCCTGTTTATTTATGATTGTCCCAAATCCCAGGAGAGAGTCTTACTAAAGAATACAAAGGTCAGAGACAAAAAGTCCCTGCTGCTGAGGTCAGCCATTTCCCTTCCAATTTTTGTCCATATTAAGTTTCTCTAGGTCTTAAAGGCACATCATGATGTGAACCCAGCAGATCCCTTACGACAAAGTCAACCCAAAACCCAGGTGTGTGCTGCTGTGGAGAAATCTCTGAAGGAGAAAGGCGAACCACCCTGGCTCCCTCCACCCAGTGTTCCCGTAGGTCGTGGTGCCCTCTTTGGCTAAAACACTACCGTGGGTTTTTCAGAAATACTTTTTTGGCAAGTTTGACCACTGTCGCTGAGAAAAGCCGATGATGTTCATTCCACCACAGACTTAAAAGACGGGGATGTAGTATTGGCGGTCATTCTCGGTCAGCAGGGAGATCTCTGGCCACTCCCTGAGAGGCTCCTCAGGATAGCAGACTGCAAAGTCTCTGGAGTTAAACTTGAACAGTCGGAACACTTTTATCTTTACTTGAAGGGAATACCCGAGTATAAACATGTCAATCTGGGGACGAGATGAAAGCGAGGTCACAGACTGAATTTATACACCCCCACCAGGATGGGGCCTGCTACGGTTTGTGAGATGACCCACTTTGTAACAGAGTAACCCACAGAGCAAGTGGGCATGACTTGGGGACAAATGCCCACGGTGTGGAAGGAGGGTAGGACCGTGTCTAGGGAGACAGGAGAAACTGTTCCGAGACGGGAAGGAACGCTCAAGCCGGGGCAGTGGCTCACAGCTTCAGTCCCAGCACTGTGGAGGCTGAGGCAAGAGGACGTCCATGAGCTGCAGGCCAGTCTAGACTGCATCGTGAGTTCCAGACCAGCCTGGGCTACAGAATGAGACCCGACCTCACAGGGAAAGGAAAAGGAAGGGAAGGGAGGGGAAGGGGAAAGGAGGTGAATACGAAATGGAGGGTGGAAAGGAGAGGACAAAAGAGGGGGAGGGGAGGGGAGGAGGAGAGGGGGAGGGGAGGAGCGGGGAGGGTGCTTGCTATTAAGAACTGCATTGCTTTCTAACCAATTTGATGTCAGTGGGATGTCATCTGATTGACCATTTCTTTTGGACAGGAAACAAGTAAACAGAAGACCTCTGTCACGGAGAGGGGCTTTCTCTGACCTGACAGCTGGTTGATACTAACTTTTGTCTGGGACACTGATCTGGCTTTCAGAGTGGCCTCTTCCCAGTTAGTATCTGTGTGGTCACAAGACTCTATGAACCAGCCCTCCCTGGTCCAAGGGTCCTCGGGCTCACAGGACGTAACAGCCAGCGATGAGGCCTGTTACTCTCCTTTCACACCCGCGGGGCCAGCGACCTCAGCCAGCCGCCTCTGTGCAGTTGGTTTCATCGAGTGCTGAACAGAAACCCTAAAGACCCACGCGTTCAAGGACTGCCGGGTCATCCCTGGATCACACACCGTGAGTCCCACTCACCTGCTCCAATCCACAGGTGTCACCTATGGCGTTCAGGTGGTTTATCATGAAGCTCAAGGGATCTGAGGAGGACTCCCTGGAGAACAGGAGTCTGAAGAGGCTGGGGATAATTTTGTTCGTCTTCATTTGTTCGTACACTTCCGTGACCTGGTAGAGCATGATGAACTTCAAAGCTTCGTACAGTTTATACTCCAGGATGGCGTCGGAGAAGAGGATGTTACACATGCTCCCTCTCTTGTGATAGTCTCTCATCCCACAAAACTCGGTCCACTACAAATACAGGGCTAAGTGTGAGCTGAGAAGGGCAAATAGGAACATACAAACCATTGGACAACTTGTAAAGTACTAATAAAAGGAGCCAAAGAGGACGGCAGGAGGGCAGTGGAGGAGGGCAGAATTTTACATTTTCATGTCTACCTTTTGGACTCTTGGAGTCTTTTTAATCATAAGTATACCACAATGGGCTGAACATTCACCTGCCTCCCCAAACTCATGTGCTAAATGTCTTAGTCTAGGGAGACAGCCTTAGGAGGTGAGGCCTTTAGGTAGTGATTGGCCTCTGCGGGTTGGAATCCCCGTGAATGGGACTGATGTGCCTCCAAGAGGAAGCTAAGCAATTTCTGGCTCTCTTTCTGCCGTGTGATGGCAAAACAAACAATCAAGCAAACAAATTGTCCACCTGTTGATAAACTAGAAAGAGAGCTGTCACCAAATGTCACTTCCTGCTAGCTTCCTGGCCTCAGACTTCCAACCTTCAGAACTGGAAGAAATAATCATCGGTTGTGTAAGCCCTCAGTTTATGGCATAAGAGAAGCCTGAGCTACCAGAATAACACACAAACACCCTAGTTTTAGAGTAAGAAACAAAATAAAATCGCTTTTCTCAAAACATACCACTGCGAGGCAAACTATCAACCACGTCAGTTCTCTAAAAGTACCTGGGGTCTGGGGTCTGGGGTCTGGGGTCTTCCTGAGGCTATGCCAGTGAAGAACAGCGCAAGAGTGCTGGCTGGCTAGCTTACTCTGCAAAGCACTTAGGTGGATTAACTCACACCCTCCCCATAACCACGCAGGGTATATACTCTACACAGTTCTTCAGAGGGAAGAGAGCTATGCCTCAGAAAGCCATGTCCCCGAGATAAGCCAGTAAGAGGTAAGCTCCACACACTTTCCATCGCCCCAAGTCTGTGTTGTTATTAAGTCAGGCAGAGCTTTAGTCTTTCTTACTTACTGCGCCTGCTCCATCCCTGTATGAGCAGGATGCTTGCAGAGGGGCACTGCTGAAGGCTGGACTTTGTACCACATTGGAAACAAGGTCCCCCCGTGTGTCTGGTCTCCAGTGCAGCCCCTGAAGCTTCTACCCCACAACAGAGCAAGTCACCATCCCACAGAACACTAACTCTGGCTTACTACTTGGTAGGAGAAAGCAAGCCACGGCCGCCAGCAGGAGGCCTTCTGCGCTCAGTTTCGTTTCCCTATGACACAGGATCCAGCCCACATGACAGGGAGCCGGCTGCGTTTGGGATGGATGCTTTTTATCCTCCGTCTTTTTTTTTTTTTTTTTAATTTTCCCTAAACACTCACCTGCATTTTCAATAACTCCACACATTTCCGTAACTTTCCAAACACATTGGAACCTGTATACTTCTCAGGTCCAAAACTGTACTGCTGGATCCAGTTACAGCCTTGAGAAAAAAGCAGTTTCTCAGGAAGCTTGAAAAGGAAGTAGATGCCAACAATGATTAGTGTCGCAGCGCCTAGCACGCATCATCTGGAATGCAGCAGCGCACAAGCTTATCTCAGGCGGCAACCCTCGGAAAGACTACCATGTCAGTTACGTAAACAGCAACAGTCATCTTTGCTTTAGATTCGTGGATTAAGTGATTTTGAGATTATATTCTAAACAAAAATCTAAATCTAAGATGATGTCCAAAGAAACAGTGTTTAGATAAAACACCATATGCCCCTGATGTAACCCTTTAGAAACCTTCCGTAATGAGATGACATAGAAAAGCAGGGCACACCAAGCAGCGGGTGGGCCACACCATGATGCAGTGTGCTTCCCAACCTGGCTGTCCCTCATCAGCTGAGAACGGACTCAGCCAGCACTTCCTTTTTTTTTTTTTTATCCTTTTGCCTCAACTTCCACTGTAAAGGCTACAATGTTACTCATTTCACAGAGCTCCCGATTAAATTCTGGGAGATGCATAGATTAGACTATGGTGTCTATAAGAACCTATTCCACTGTGGGTAGTGAAACCATATCCCACAAACTTGGGGGATGAACACAGGACTTCTGTCACATTCTTTATGCTAGTTAACTAGAAGCAGGGTTAGCATACAACACTTATTCGACAAGTATCTGCTATGAAACAGAACTACAGAAAATAAATTTAAAGAAAAGACACCAAGGAGACAGAGCACATGGGACCATATATGTATACTTCATACTTCTTGCTCCACCATCCTAAACTGAGCATACTGCACGCAAAATAAGAAGTCACATTGCTCATCAAAAATATATGTCTGGAGCTGGAAAGATGTCTCAGCAGTTAAGGGTACCTGCTGCTCTTCCAGAGGACCTGGCTTCAGTTCCCAGCACCCACACAGTGGCTCACAACTGTCTGTTAGTCCAGTTCCAGAGGACCCATTGCCCTGAATGCACACAGTGCATGGACACACATGCAGGCAAAATACCCATCTACATAAGATAATGAAAAAGAGAATATACTGCCGTAAACTATGAAGAAAATGATCAAACAAACAAGACTGGAAGAAAACCTCTGCAAATCACATATCCAAGAAAGCCCTCATATTCAAAATACATAAAGGATTTCCAAAACAATAGGAAAACAAACAATCCGATAAAAATGAACCAAAGATTTAAGTAGACAATTTTCCAAGGAGATGCTATGGACTGCAAACAGGTACATGAAGAGATACTCAACAGGTATTCATTAAAAGCGAATGAGGGCTGGCAGGATGGCTCAGTGGGGAACGGAGCTTGTTGTGCAAGTTTGATGACCAGAGTTCAGTCTCTGGACCCCATGAAGAGGTGGAGGAGGGAACTGGCTCCACAGGACTGTCCTCTGACTTCCACATGGACTGTAGCATGTGCCCTTCCCCTCACATCACACACACACACACACACACACACACACACACACACACACACACACACACACACACATGAATAAGAAAAAACAAAGTATACCTAGTAGAATGACTAAAACCAACCAAACCCAACAATCCTAAGTGCTGGAGACCATGTGGGACAGCCACAACTCTCACACTATGCTGGTGGGAACACAACAAACCCACGCAGGCTTGGGGAGCCATGTGGCAGTTCCTCGGAAAGTTAAACACATACCTCACTCCTACATCACACATCTAACTCCTGGGCATTTGCCTAAAAGAAACAGATATTATACCTACAAAATCCCATATAAGACTATTCCTAATGGCCAAATTCATTGTTGCTAAGCACTGGAAACCATCCAGATGCCCTTGAACTGTGAGTAAAGTGCGTTCTGTTCATATAAAGGACTATCCCATCGGAGCAAAACAATGACTTCTGAATTCGTGGAACAGCGTGGAGGAAATGCAGATGCACGCTGCTATGGGAGGGCAGTCAGAGTCTAAGGCTAAGAGGATTCCATTCATAACACTGGAAGCAGCAAACCATAGGGACAGAAAGCGGATTAGGAATAGTGCGGACCAGAGGTCTGGGGACAACTGACTACAGAAGTATAGGAGAGAGCCTTGTGGTAGAGACCACATTCTGCATGCCTTTGTTAGTAAACATTTATGTTATAGTAAAAAGGTTCATGTTATCAGACCTCCTTACTTAAGAGGATGTCTCTCGAGGACAGAGGCCTCTCGAGAAAAGCTGAGAGCATTAAGATGAACAAGACTGGGAACACCAGCACGCTGAGGTGGCTTATATCTGCAAAACAACTAGCTAAATCGACAGAGCTAAACAGACCGAGCTAAACGACCTGTCAACGCTCCTTCAACATGAGAATCTTGAGCACAAAGCTACCCAGCCAGGACCCGTAGCCCCCAACATGGCCATGCTCCCGATGGGGAGCCGTACCTTCACGATGTCTTTTTCTTTCATCCACGGTGGAAAAGAGAGACCTTGGCTGAAGATCTGGAACAACACGGACCGGAGAGCATCGTAGTTATCTCTCTTCACTGGCCGAACACATTTAATATGGTACCTCCAGAATAGTTCCTCATAAGCCTGTCAGTGTGCAAGAATGGTCTCGATGAACTCCACTGCACCAGAGGCTGGTGAAAGTGAGCTCAGTGGACACAGAGTTTCAGTGTTCACACGAAAGTGAAGTTTCAGTGAACACACTGAGTGAGCATGTTTCCAGAGCATGTTTCCCAAATAATTTGAGTAAGTAGAATAGTGATAAATGATGACTACATGTAATTTTATTTTTTTAAAGTTTTTTTGTGTTTTAAAACCATTTTTTGAAGATTTTTTTAAAATGATGTGTATTTGTGTGTGTGTGTGAGGGGGGGTTGTTTTTCACATGAGTACAGGTACCCACAGAGGCCCAAAGAAGATGTTGGACTCCCGAGAGCTGGAGTTACAGGTAGGTAGGTAGTTGACGTAGATGCTGGGAATTAACTCAGGTCCTATGCACAAATTTCAAGTACTCTTAAACAGCTGAGCCATGTCTCCAGCCTCTTATTTTTAAATTTTATTGCTATAATCATCATTACCACTACAGTATCATTATTACTAGTGTGTGTGTGTGTGTGTGTGTGTGTGTGTGTGTGTGTGTGTGTGTGTGCAGGTCACACAAGCCAGTGCATATCTGGAAGTCAGAGAATGGTTCTCCTGAACCCAGATCAGCAGACTGACAGCGAGTGCTTTTCCTCAGAGCCACTTCAGTGACGCTATACACGGGATTTTTAAAGTGGCTCTCACGTGTATGGAGTCTGCCTCGTGCTGTTTTAGATGATGAATCTTGGAAGACCAGGACGGGTTGTTTGGGGCTGATAATGAGTCCAACTCAACCACAGAGAAGAAGTGTATAGTTTTAAGACTGCACCAGAGGACTTTGGACCTCTCCCTCCTCTCTTTTGCCCAAGACAGGAGTGGGCAGTGCTGTTGGGGATTTTTACCAAGATCAGTCCAGTGGAACATTCTAAAACTCCTCCAAGTACTTATGCCAGGGTGTCTGATCCCTCCAGGGAGGAGTCTGCATAGCACATGCAGAAGTTAAAAGGCTGGAGATCCGAAGACAGTGCAGTACTCATATTCTCTCAAGTTACAGACATACTGATTTCTAGCCTCAGCACCACACACTCTGGGTTGAAGCCTGTCCTTGTTAGCTCACCTCTCAGCTTCATTCAACAGCCAGGGCCATCTGGGGAAAGGGAACCTACTTGAGGGGATTGACAGTATTAGACTGACTTATGATGTCTGTGAGATAGTTGTGATTGACAACTGATCTGGAAGGGCCTAGCCTCCTGTGGGCGGCACCATCCCCCAGCAGGTAAGCTTGGGTCAGATGCTGAGAGCAAGCCAGTAAGTGGGTTCCTCCATTGTTTCTGCTTCAGCTCCTGCCCCGACTTCCCTCAATGATGGACTGTGACCTGGAAGTATAAGCCAAATAAATCCTCTGCTCCCCAAAGTTGCCTTTGGTCAGAATGTTTTGTCACAGCAACAGAAAAGCAAACTAGAACAAGGCCTAAAGCCAGTATCGAGCAGCTACTCGGCTTCTGACTTGGGCTGCAACTTTATGTGACACCCCATTTGGTGCTGCTGGTTGACCTTTGGGTTTGGCAAAGCCGAGCTGAGTGCACCCTGATTCCGACAGACACTGCCTGCCTTCCTTAACCCCCCCCAAGCAGACGTACCTTCCGCATCAGTTTGGCACGGGGTGTTTCCCCTTTCCACTCTCTTGCACAATAACTGAGTAGATCTACTTCTGCCTCCACGCTGAGGTTTCCTGGACAAGACAGAAAATAAAAGGCAGCTACATTTCCCATTCTTCTCCTTTCTTTAGCCCTCTCTGCTTTAAAAAAAAATAAAATAAAGGAAACAAAGGCACAAAAGCATTTACTTTTGAATTTTCTCTGCAGATATCCAATCCACCTGAAAGATAAAGGAAACAGTTATATATATATATATATATGTATATATAAATGTTTTGCAGGGCAAGGGTGTTTTTGAAAAGGAAAGACAAAAGGATGGCCCACCATTTCAGCCGATGCCCTAAATACAAATGCAGCCTTCTGAAGTAGCAGAGGGACGCGGACAGAAGGGACACCGCCAGCGTCACAGAGACCCTTGCTATTCTCCAGGCAGTGCTGACGACTTGGCTTGTAACCAGTATCCAGGAGTGAACCTGGTCACTTCCTACAAAACAAACAGACATACAAATCATAGTTATACATCTGCTTGAAGAGACATATGACACACTGGATAACTTTGTCCCCAAGTGTCTATCATTGATTTAGACACACATTTTTGTGTATGCACATATATATGCATGTTTGTGCATAGACGCATGTGTATATGAGGTACGTGTGTGTGTGTGTGTGTGTGTGTGTGTGTGTGTGTGTGTGTGTATAATTGCTAGCACCATTCCTCATGTACCATCGACCTTCTTTGAGACATAGCCTCTAACTGGCCTTGTCACCCCCCCAGGCCTACAGACACGTTTTTAGAGTATTCAAACACTCAATCCAAAATTAAAGAATCATGTCATTTCTCTCATGATCAGTGTCACATATAAAACAGCCTTTTCTACAGAATTAATAATCCACCATGTACAGAAGGAGCCTGGGCTTCCGAATCCTGAATTCAGATCCTGTCTCCACCATGGAGCCTGTGTGACTATGACAGCCGACTACCCTGATCTAAGTTCTCCAGACTGTAAAATGCAGGTGACCCCGCAGGGAAGGGGCGAAATGAAGTTGTGAAGCACCAGCACCATGCAGGCACACCCTCATTTCTCGCCCAGAACCTCTTGGATCCATGCCAGGTAGGCTCTGGTGACCTGTCAGCATCCCTTGAGTCACACATGAGTGAGCCAATGGGCAGAAGCCTGGGTACCACTTTGTCTGCTACGTCAGACGCCCACCCTGATTCCTGGTCCAACAAGGCAAAAAAGTAAGGAGCAAGTAAGGGACCAGAGGGTAGGCTTGCAGTATTTTTTTAAATTATTTATTTATTTTTATTTTATGGACAGTGGCATTGTTGCCTGCATGTACATCTGTATGAGGGTGTCGGATCCCCTAGAACAGGAGTTAATGGACAGTTGTGAGCTGCCATGTGGGTGCTGGGAATTGAACCTGGGCCCTCTGGAAGAGCAGCCAGTGCTCCTAACCTCTGAGCCATCTCTCCAGCCCTGGCTTGCAGTATTTTGCCGTGTCTGGGAGATTCCCGGCCACGCTCTGCTTGAGCTTGTGACAAGCTGATGTACAAATGCGGAAGAGGACTTCTGAATGGTGGCCTAACCTCCCGGGGTTTGTTTTGAAATAATTTCCTCCACAGCAGATCACTGAGTAAAATTCCAGTGACTAACTGCAATAAAACCCTCATCAGCATGGAACCTATGATTTCATCATTTTTTGGTCTTCTGGATATTTCATGTGTATTTATAGTCCCAATAAAGAAAGAATTTATTAGCAAATCAGGAAAAAAAATACTAGCAGCAAAATTTTAAAATATACTTCCTATTACTTAGAAGAACATTTTAAAAATGATTATCTAGAGTAGTTATTTGATTGCTCAAATCATTATACTACCTAATCCCCAGATTTAGCAAACTATATGTTTAAAAACCTAAAGCTGGAGCTAGAGGGATGGATGGCTCAGTGGTTAAGAGCGTGCTACTCTCCCAGAGGACCCCAGTTCTGAGCATCCCTGAAATTCTAGGCCCAGGGGATCCAACATTCTCTTTTGGCCTCTACTGACACTTGTACGCACATGACACACACTCACACATACACATAAATAAAAAAATATGGGCTGGAGAGGTGGCTTAGTGGTTGGGAGCACTTGCTGCTCTTCCAAGAGCCCTGCATTTGAGTCTCGACACTCAGTGAGTGGCTCACAACCACCTGTAACTTATCTCCAGGGAATCAGATACCTTCTTCTGGCCCGTGCAGACACCTGCACATACATGGCATTTTCTCACACAGACACACATACATATACCTAAGTAAAAATAAGAAAAATAAATCTTAACAATGTAAAAAAAAACTCTAAAAAAGTCTTTTTAATAAAAAGCTATCCTATGTCTATAACATCTCTAATTTTAGATTTGTACTAATTTAGATGGTTTTCTCCACTGATAATTCTGACACACACAATTACTTTTAGTAAATTCTTAAATTCACAGGATAGGATTATCTATGAATATATTACTTATGGTAGCTGTAAAAATACTTTAGAAAAATGGGACACTGCACATGATTTGCATGTGTAGACTGACTCCTTCCTTCCTTTCTGCCAATGTTAGGGGTTGAACCCAGTGTCTTGGGCATGCTTCCTAGCCTTGACAGCATTCTGTGCAATGAATGCCCAGTTCCTCCACATAGCTGGTCCTGTGTGCATTGCCTACTGACGAACATCTGGACAGTTCCGCACTCTCTACAAACGATGCATTGGCAAGCATTCATTACTAACATCCCCTAAGGGGTCCTGGCAGCTTGTCTTTAAGGATAATTCAAAGAAGAGGAAACACTGGCTCAAAGGATTTGTACACTGTCAGTTCTAGCAGGTGCTGGCTTCCAAAAGAGGTCAGTGAGCAACCCTCCTGCCACTCTGAGAGGACCCAACGCTGGGAGGACTCATTCCTGGGAGGACTCAACACTGGGAGGACCCAATGCTGGGAGGACTCAACGCTGGGAGGACCCAATGCTGGGAGGACTCAACGCTGGGAGGACCCAATGCTGGGAGGACTCAACGCTGGGAGGACCCAATGCTGGGAGGACTCAACGCTGGGAGGACCCAATGCTGGGAGGACTCAACGCTGGGAGGACTCAACGCTGGGAGGACCCAATGCTGGGAGGACCCAACGCTGGGAGGACTCTTCAATGTAGGGTGTGTTTCTGAATTAATCCAGAGAAGGAGTTTCTTCAGTATGCACAGGCCAGTCACATTGCTTTTCAATGGTGGAACTTGGTACAGTATCTGACATTATTCACAGACTGGTGCTTGGGTGTATGTGTTAGGGGCCAATAGAGGGCTTGCAGTCACTGCAGTGGGGACTGGGTACTGCCCTTGACACTCCTCATTGGTCAGATGCCATCTGATGTGCAGTGGCATCTGAGGGACCACCCAGCCCCTTAGGGTATCTCTCCTCAGAATAAGGCCTTTCCTGACAACCCGTGGAAGACAATGGCTCTCCCAGTGTTTGTTCACACCCTTTCTCTGTCTCAGTCTCTCTCCCCCACTTCCCCACCTCCCCCCCCCCCCCTGTGTCTCTTCCTCTCTCCTGTCTCTTTCTCTTCCTTGCCCTGTCCCAGCCTTCTGCCCTTATCCTCAAAATGAACCCACCCAGAAGGCAGCTCTACGAGCACCTTACCAGGAGACAACCTGGACACAGGCCTGCACTCCTCATCTCCCTCAACTCAGTGCAGCCACTACTCACACTGGGGCTTCCCATGACAGTTGCACACATGTGCACACTGTGCTCTGGTAGTTATCTATTTTCTCCTGTCTTCCCTCTCTCCTCCCCATCCCTTTTCCTCCCCTAGCAGTCCTGTCTTTCAGATCTTTTTTTAAAAACTTTTTACATATGAGAGAAAACACACAATACTTTTCTTCTTCTGGCTAATTTCACTCAGCATGATGAACTCTAGTTTCATCTATTTCCCTGAAAATAACATGGATCCATTCTTATCATTCTAATATATATATATATATATATTATATACCCTAACATATATAATATATATTAACATTCTAACATATACAATATATTAACATTCTAATATATAATATATATATTAATTTATAGGCTGAGAGACAATTAGCTGGCCCCATATCTCATGTGCTTACATTTTTTAGTTAAGTAACTCAGGCCAAGAAGGGTGAAAGACCATAATCTTGGGGGTTCTGGTGTGGGTACAAGGGAGTCATCCAGAGGTGGGTAGAATGGGACTCTGCAGGATGGCATGTATGAGGCAGACATGGCCGTACCGCCATGTAAGGATCTGCACAAGCTGTTCTCGGACAATGTTACTAGGAGCCGGGCTTCTAAGTCAGAAGAGTAGGAAGAGCTCTGTCTCACTGCCACAAAGTAGCTGTGAGTGTCCTGCCTGGCCACCTCCTTCTTGCCTGTGAGCCCCACAGTGTCACAGAGGAGTCCCGAGTGCTCACAGAAACCTCCCGCTACCTCCATCTCTAAATCTAGGAGAAAAGACAGTATAGAATGGGTCCTGGTACACAACAAGTGCTTCGTACATGCTTGTGCATTTTACTGTCACAAAGCAGAAGGCACAGAACTGCTGCAGGGCTTTAGGGAAATGTCAGAAGGGCTGGGCACAGTATCTTTCTCACGAAGCACATGACAAACACTAGCTGCTGTTTTCATTGTGGTTACCATAATCACCTTGGCTTTGTAGATTAGACAACTGTTAGGGGCAAAAAGATTAAGCAGCCTCCTAATGGGAGTTGCCCAATAAATGGCGGAGCCAGTACTCAAAGACAGAGGCCATGCAGTTCTGGAAGCCGCCAGCCTGAGCGAGCACTTACCTGCCTGCCCTTCTATCTGAATGCATTTTCAAATCAGCACTGCTAGTAAGTAGAATTACGACTAAAAGGGGGGAAACGAAATCCTTCTCTCAGAGCTGGAGGGATGGCTCAGTGGGTAGGAGCACTTGCTACGCAAGCATGAAAACCGGAGTTTGAATTCCCAGAACCCACATAAAGGCTGGGCACCGACACGTGTGCCTGTAACCCCAGCACTGGCAAAGCCAGGCAGACACCAGTAGCTTACTTGCTAGCCAGCCTAGCCAAAACAATGAGCTTCAGATTCAGCGAGGGAACTTACCTCAAGAGAATAAAGCAGTGATCTACAGAAGAAGACACCTGACATCCTGCTTAGACTTATACACCACACACACACACACACACACACACACACACACACACACACCTTTTTCTCATTCTTGGGCCAATAAATAGATTAAACTCAAAAAACACAGAAGGAAATACCATAACAAGACTGCAAATCAGTATGAGGACAAGTTTGATGAACTACTACTGAGTCAAATGCCATTTCTCCAAACACAGCTGAGAGAGGGTAACATATTGGACATAGGAAGTTTCAGAGGGTCCCCTTTCCCACGAAAGACAATTCTGCAATCACCACCAACTTCCATTCTCTACCCCAGAAGGGGGTC